AGACTCTGGCCAGAGGAGTAGTGGGCCTGCCAAGCGGGCCCATCTTCTGGGAGCCGCTACACGCGCTCCTCCGCAATGCGACCCCAGGATGGAGCAAGCGGCACCAGGGTGCACTGAAGGCCCTGGTCACGAACGTCCACTGGCCGCAGGCGCGTCTCTTCGCACATGGCCTGGTCAGCACCGCGCGGTGCCAGCTGTGTGGCGAGCAGCTGGGCAGCCTCTTCCACAGGCACTACGAGTGCCCCTACCACGCAGCCCGCCGCCGAGAGGGCGCGTCGGTCAGCCTGCGGGCCCGAGCTGCCCGGGTGAGGAGGTGGAGCCTGGAGGCGGCGGAGCGGTTCTGCCGCGGGCTCTTCCCCAGTCCCAGCTGCCTGTTCGAACGGGTGGGCAGGAAGGGGGGCATCTGCTGGGTAAACAGACCCAGCACAGGGCTGCTCACGGGGTGCCTCTTCCTGGACGGGAGCGCCTTTGCTGGGTCCCTCCCAGGGCTCGAGCATGCCGGCTGGTCGGTGGTCCAAGTCGACCGTTTCGGCCACCTGGAGGCGGCTGCGTACGGCCCAGTGCCCTTGTCGGACGCACCCAACCAAACTGCTCCCGACGCAGAGGATTACGCGGTCCACATGCTGTCGCAGGTGGCGATGGCGCCCTTCCAGCTGTACCTCGACTGCGCCAACGCACTGCGCACCCTCGGAGGCGGCGCCGGCGCCGGCACTCGTGGGGTGGACCCGCGCCCCCACCTCTGGGGGCCATTCTGGGCCTCCTTCACGGAGGGCGACTTCGAGGCCCACAAGACGCTGGGTCATGCATCAAGCGGCGACATCGACGCGGGCCGCAGCACGCACTGGGAGCGGCGGGCCAACGACCACGCCGACTCCTTCGCCAAGCGGGGCGCCGCCAGGCATGCGCTCGGCGAGCCAGACGAGGCCCTATGGCGAGGGCTGCGGGAGCTGGCGAAGGAGGCATGCCGCTGGAGCGCCACCCTGGAGGCCGAGCTGGGGGACGGGCAGCGACTGGACCACGAGGACCGGGGGGCCCCCAAACGTCCACCCTCCCCGAGACCCCTCCCGGGGCCCCCGCAAGTGGCGAGGGGCATGGGGGAGAGGTGTGGTGGAGCGCCCAAAAGGCAGCGTGTTGGGGCCCGCTGCCGTCCATATGGCGCCCGTCAGGGTTAGCTTGGGCGTTTCATTCCTGGGGCCCGAGGGGGAGGGGGCCAGCCTACTTTTGCCCCCAACGCATTCAAGTTAAAGTTAGAGACCTAGACTGGGGAGGCAACTCCCCAGGGTTGGAATGCTGGCGCTATGCCGATGCTCCCCTGCCCCACGTAAATGGGGGCAATTTCTGTACCATTTCTGCCCCCCTTCTGAAGGGGGGCGTGAAAGGGGGGGGGCCTGCCCAAGATGGGGGGCCGCGGCATGAGGACGTGCTCCACGGACGCGCCCAACTCAGCGAGGGCGCTGCCCCTGCAGCCGCCGCGGACGGCGACGTCGTGCGTGAAGCTCCCGTCAGGGAGAGCCAGGCAGAGGCTGGTCGGGAAGAGCGGCCTGGGCAAGGGGACGAGGAGGCGGCGAGAGGCGAAGAAAAGGTGGAGGCAGCGGCGGCTGCTGCTGCAGCTCCGGGGGATGCCATTCCCCCCTCGGCTGCCGGAGGCACTCCTTTTGCCCCAGCCCCAGGGGCGGTGGCAGGCCCGTCCAGGTGGGGCGTGCCGCTCGCGCCGGAAGCGGCGGCGGCCCCAGTTGATACCAAGCGTGGGGCAGCCTCCCAGGGCTCAGACGCCTTCGGCTTCGGCGTCGACTTCAGCGAGGAGATGGCCCTCGCAAAGGAGCAGCCCCCCGAGAATGCGTGCGAGGGCAGCGGGCCGGTCGGCGACGCGGGCCCTGCAGGCCCAGCCGGAGGCGCGGCTGCCAGTCCCCAAAGCCAGGAGGGACGCGTCCCAGGGCACGTGGAGCTGCACTTTGGCCTCGACGACCAGGTCCTGGCCAGGCATGCGTGGAGGGCTAGAGGGCGCGCTCTCCTGCGCTGCCGAGTGGCGGAAAACCCCCAGATGCGCTTCGTGTTCTGCCTGCGGTGCGGCGGGGTTTTGGCGGGCCTCAAGCCCGGCAAGCTGCTCAAGAACTGGTGCCGAGGGCGGGAGTCCAGCGCAGGCAAAGAGCAGCTACGGCTGGTGCGCCTGTTGCGCTGGCCCCACTACGGCAAGGGGAGACAAGGTGGAGCGCTCGAGGGGCCCTTTGCCCTAAGGCCCGAGGAGCAGCTGCAGCTCGCAGGCGACCTCCAGCTGGAACGGGACCTGCCCGCGGCAGCGAGCGGCGGGCATCGCGCTGCTGCTGGCGACGAGCGCCTTCCCGCCACGCCGGCGGATGCGCCAGGGCCCCAGGGCAGGCGGCCCGAGCCGAGGGCGGCGCGTCTCTTCCTGCTCCGCTGCTACGGGCTCACGGAGGACGACCTCGAGGAGGTCCGCCGTGTCGGCCGCGAGGCGGCCCGCACCCAGGCTGCCGACGCCTCCGACATAGTCTCCGAGGAGGCGGAGCTCGTGGGCTAAGGCCTGCTGAGGCGGCCCCGGCGCCAGCCCCTTGCCAGTGCCCTCCAAGGCAGATGGACGAGGAAGGTCCATCGATCGTTTGACAGTGCGCAGCAGAACCAGTCGTCCGTCGGCCTGTCGGCCGCGCTTCGGCGCATGTGCCCTTACCCTTACCCCCTCCCCCTCCTCCTCCTCCTCCTCCTCCTCCTCCTCCTCCTCCTCCTCCTCCTCCTCCTCTTCCTCCTCCTCCTCCTCCCCCCCTTTTCCTTCTCCTCCCGTCCGCTCCGGGCCACGGCAGTATCTCGGCCCCGCCAGCCCAGCCCTCGAGGCGGGGGCAGGCTCCGCGAAACCCGAGAGGGGGCAGTATGTGATCCCGGGTCGAGGGTTCACAGGGCCCCCCCCCCAGATGGGATGGGCCCAAGGGTTCTACCGGCCCCCCCGCCCAGGTGGGATGGGGACGACGACGACGACGACGACGACGATGACGACGACGACGACGACGACGACGACGACGACGACGGCGACGACGACGACGACGACGACGACGACGACGACGTACCCATCCAGCGGTGGGGGTGGGGGCCGATACCATTTAGCATTGGCATATATCCCTATCCAGGGGGGTAAATCGGTCAGTGGGGTCAAGGCCATGCCAGCGGGGAAGGGGATGGGTTGAACGATGCTCCCTCCCGGAAGGCGGCGCGACAGGTGCCTTCGGAAGCCGCCGCGTGACAGGTGCCGCCGCGGCGTGGCCGCGGCTGCCGCCGAGACCGCAACTGCGGCCTCGGCGGCTGCCGCCGCTGCGCGGCACTGGGCGCGCGGAAGGCGCGGAAGGTGGAGGTCGAGGGGCGGAGGACGTGGGGGCAGGCGGGTGCGCGCGAAGGGGGTCACCCTCGTTGCGTGGTATCCGACCTCGAACCAAACCTCTGGGTCGGTTTTGGAGGTCGCCGCGGTGATCGCGGCGGCCACACATCGGGGCAAGGTTTTCCACCAAGGAGCGGCAAGCCCCTTCCCACCCCCCCCGCATCCATCGGTAGACTTTGCCCATACTTGGCAGCATAGCGACAGAGAGTTGCCAATTCACGTCCGACATGGGCAGTCGTGGTTTTTGGGTGGTCAGGGGTCGATTGTCACGCAACCCCTCCCGAAAAGGTGGCGCGGAGGAGGAGGAGGAGGAGGAGGAGGAGGAGGAGGACCAGTGGAAATCCAAGAGTCATCAACGATGTTGGAATTAACCCTCCCTCCAAGCCCTCGCTTCATAGGCCCGTACAACGGTTCATTTCCATTGAGGGAACTGCCTCGTTGGAAGACAACAGTTTGAATATCCTGAAGCGTGCCAAAAATGGTTCTCGGGATTTCACCGCCACGTATCAACCTGACTGCTGCGTCTTGACGATCCAGAATCGTGACAGAACGCATTTTTTGGGAATCAACATAACTGTTGCGCCCGCATAGTCCTGAATCCTTCTAAAACGCCAGTGCTGGTGCGTTGATCATGCGGATCCGTGAAACTCTTGCAAGTTTCAAAAACGAATGGACGCGGCGATAAGGCGAGAGCCACATTTTGAAAAGGAACCGCCTTGAATTCGTGAAACCCTTGCAATTTGTTCGAACGAATGTGCGCGGCGCTGAGGCGAGAGCCACATTTTGAAAACCGCCTGCCCGCAACCCGTGAAGCTCTTGCAAATTTGTAAGACGAGTGTGCGCGGCGCTAAGGCGAGAGCCACATAAAAACGACCCGCCCTCAATCCGTGAAGCTCTTGCCATTTTTGAGACGAGTGTGCGCGGCGCTGAGGCGAGAGCCACATTTTGAAAACGATCTGCCCTCAATCCGTGAAACTCTTGCAATGCTTTAAAACGAATGTGCGCGGTGCTAAGGCGAGAGCCACATTTTGAAAACGACCCGCCATCAATTCGTGAAGCTCTTGCAATTTATTAAAACGAATGTGCGCATGTGCGCGGCGCTAAGTCGAGAGTCGCATTTTGACAACCACCCGCCCTCAATCCGTGAACTTCTTAGAATTTTTAAAACGAATGTGCGCGGCGCTAAAGCGAGAGCCACATTTTGAAAGCGACCCGCCCTCCATTTGTGACCTTGTTGTCACTTTTAAAGCTTCAGAGTCATAAATGGTGAGGAAGTCTGTCCCCGGGGTGCGACAGGGAGAAGTTAGCTAGAAGGAGAGGGAATGGAGGAGGAGGAGGAAAAGGAGGAGGAGGAGGAGGAGGAGGAGGAGGAGGAGGAGGAGGAGGAGGAGTGGAGGGAAGGAGGAGGAGGAGGAGGAGGAGGAGGAGGAGGAGGAGAGGAGGAGGAGGAGTGAGGAGGAGGAGCAGGAGGGAGGAGGAGGAGGAGGAGGAGGAGGAGGATGATGAGGAGGAGGAGGAAGGAGGAGGAAGCAGGAGGAGGAGGAGGAAGGAGGAGGAGGAAGCGCGAGGAGGAAGCAGGAGGAGGAGGAGGAGCAGGGCGTGGGGGGCCTCCCGACGCAAGGCGGCGCGGGGATGCTGGTGCGCGGCGAGGTGAGCACCGCGTGCGCGCGGCGGGGGCAGCGGCGCGACCGCGCCTTCCTGCGCGAGCCCCTGGGCTGGCTGCCCACCGCGGGGGCGGCGGGCGGCGGGCGCGACCACTGCCGGGTCTCCTCCTGGTCGCACAACACGGACGTCAAGGGGAGCACAAAAAAGCTACCGATGCCGCTGAGGCCCAGGGGTCCATCTCGGTCCGATCGCGATCCGATTCGATGTCGAGATTTCGGCGGGCCCCATCCGGTGCGATTCCGGAATCCCGACGATCCGATGCGGCCCGATCTTCGCTTGGTGCTGCTGTGCATCCTGGCGCAGCCGATTCGATTCGATTTCGTCCCCGTGCCGATGCAGCCCGATCCGACGTAGGTTCTGATCCGATCCGATCTCCTGATTCGATGCTGACTGACCCTGGACCCCTTCGCGTCTTCAGACAATCACGACGGACGTCAGACGAGGAGCAGCTGCCGATGCCTATGTCCGTGAGGGTGCCCGCCTCGCCGTCTCGGTCCGAGTCGCACCCAGACTCCCTCGTGAGGTTCTCGGACGTTTTCGCCGGCTCTCGGCCGTTTTCCGACCCCGTGATTCGGGGTCGGCCAAGAGGGGTGATGACTCGGGGGGGGTGGATGTCATGGCGTGGGCCATTATGTTTCCCCAGATTTCATGGCGCCTCTTCTTATTTCATTGCGTCCCCTGGCCCCCCCCCCCCGGGCCGCGCACACGCCGCTGGCCATGATTTGCGCCCCCCCCTCTTGGACACCCCCCTCCTGGCCGCCCCCCGATTCCAGCAGAGCCGCGCTCCGCCGAGGGCGTTCCAGGGGTGCCGGGATTGCTCCGGACTGCCGCCGGGGAGCCGAGTTCTGATCCGACAGGCCTCCTCCCCAGACCCCTTCGCGTCGTGAACACAGTCACGGCGGGAGGCCGTTCTCACCAGCCTGGAACATATCCCTGTCCCTGTGCTGGGCATCGCCTCATCACGATGCCGAGCTTAAGGATCCCCTCAGCTTCTGAGGGCGCATCCCTGAGATTGTCATCGCCTTGTGGCGTGTCAATCTGAGTGATAGGGGTACGGCATGTTCGTGTCGTGTCGACCGGCGGCGACCCCGCCAGAGGCGTTCAGCTTCGAGCGCCGCGGGCGACCCAGAATCGTTCGATGTAGAACGATTTGGACGTTTCGAAAACGGCCGATCGTTCAAGGCTGAACGAAGAACGCGGTGTCAGAAACCGACGCCGAAGTGGGCACGACACGAACCTGTCGTAAGTTCGGGGCTGGTGATTCAGGAGGGGAAAAACCACACAGACACAGTTGATCGTCGGTTCCCAGGAAAATATGGGAAAAGATGGGAGGTGTGGGGGGGGGAAGACAAAAGCCCAGAAAGGATTGGAAGATGTGGGGAAGCCTGTTATGTCTGTGTCTGCTTGTCTGTGTGCCCCAGGGCCCCTTCGGTGCTGCTCCCCGTTCTCGGCCCCTGGGCGCACTCGCCCCCCGTTCGCTCTGGGGCCGTCGAGCGACGGCCCCGGGGCGAGAGGCCGGTGTCCCTGCAGGAGTGGCGGTCGAGATCGGAAAAGAGGGGGGGGATGACTAGGGGGGGGGTTTCATGGCGGGGTCCCTGCAGGAGTGGCGGTCGAGATCGGAAAATTGGGGGGGGATGACTAGGGGGGAGGTGGATCTCATGGCGGGGGCCATGATTTTTCCCCAGGTTTCAGGGCGCCCCTTCTTGTTACATTACGTCCCTGGCCCCCCCGCTGGGCCGCGCACATGCCGCCGGTCATGGTTTGCGCCCCGCCCTCTTGGACACCCCCCTCTTGGCCGCTCCTGGGAATGGCGGTCGAGAGCTCGAGGGGCGGGTGCTCGCCGTGCAGAAACTGCGACGTCGGGGTTCTGGGGGGCCACTGCTCAGGAGGGGAGAAAGCACACAGTCACAATTCATCGTCGGTTCCCCAGAAAATATATGGGAAGTGGGGGGGAGGACAAAAGCCCAGAAGATATGGGAAGACATGGGGAAACCTTCTATCTGTGTGTCTTTCTTCGTGTGCCCCAGGGCCCCTTCAGGAAGGGCGGTCGAGACCTCGAGGGGCGGGCGCTCGCCGTGCAGAAAGCTGCGGCGTCGGGGCTCCGGGGGGCCACTGCCGCTGCCCTGCCCTCCTCCTCGCCTTACGCGGGGCCTCCCGGGGGGGGGGGGCCCTCGTCGCCACGAGGCCCTGGGCGGGACGCGCCCCGGGAGAGGTCCAGGGAGCACGGAGCGGCACTACTGGCAGCCTTTTTCAGAGGCCAGCAACATATGTACACGTACGCGGTTAGCTTCCCCTGGAGGGCATTTGAACGAGGACGTTCGTGCACTCATGATCGCGGAGGGCGTACATGTACATATGTCGTTGCTCGCTCACTTTTCTTGGCGCTCGCCCAGGACAAGTGCGCCATGCCGCCGGGCTCCAACGGGGGGCCCTCGTGGGCTTTCTGGGAGACCCTCGTCGCCACGGCTGGGTTTGCCCCGAGGTCCTGGGCTGGACGCGCCCCAGGAGAGGTTCGGGGAGCACGGAGCGGCATATTGGCAGCCTTTTTTCTGGCGCTCGCCCAGGAGAAGTGCGCGATGCCGCCGGGCTCCAACGGGGGCGGCCTCGTGTGGTTGCCGCCCGCTCGAAAGCCCCGGGGGCGGTGGGGCGGATGGGGGGCCATGCGCGCCGGGGGGGGGTGCGGTGCGGTGCTGGATGCAGCGGCAAAGGGCCCTCCTCGTCAGGAAGCGCCCTCTCCCTCTTGTGTTGTTTCTTGTTTTTTTCCTTTCACGGCACGAAGGTGCTTCTGTTGAGGAGGTTTGCCTACGTCACCAGGAGGTGCCACCTCGCATAGTGCATCCTCAATCCCACTACTCCTACTCCGGCTTCTGTGTCTGCTGCTGGTGCTAGTGTTATTAGTTGTACTGCTACCGCTTCTGCACTGTCTACTGACTCTGCTGAGTCTGCTACTGCTGCTGCTTGTGCTACTGGTGTTGCTGGCTGTGCTTTCGACGACATCGGACTCGTTGCAGACGACGTCCAGGCCCCTGGAGTGGGCACCGCCATGTGCCGCCCGATTCCACAGGCAACAGAGCTCCCGACGTCGCCACTGTTTTGGTGGGCCGAGGGCGGGAGTCAGCGCGTTTGCCCCCAGCCGATTGGGACCCTGACGACCTTCGTCCCTTTGTCGCCAGCTGCTGTTGAGGTTCCCCTCGCTTCGCGGGCTGCGTGCGCGTCCCGCACGCGCAGGGTCTAGGCGCTGTCTGGGCACGCCCTGCGCGCCTGCTGCGCTGGGCCCGCCTCCTCCGCCGCCCTGGAGAGGCGGGTCGTCGGGGGCACCGTGGCTCTCGTCAATGGCAGGGCCGTTGTTTCGTCTTTCCTCAACATCTTCATCTTGAGCTATGATGTTCCAACCTACTTTAGCCTTGGTCACCAGAAACAAGTTCGAGCACCAGAAAAGCACCGAAACTTGAGGGTTTTCACGTGTCGGGCCCTGGGAGACACTCGTCCGACACTGTTTCGACACTGCTTCGACACTTTTCTGGGTGCTCGAAGTTCTTCCTGGGATGTGGTCCTCAAGTACGATGGGAGCAACATAAATCTTGAGAAGGAAGTCGGCGGCGAGCCTGGGGGGGAGAAAGAGGGGGTGGGCCTTCTCAGAAGGCCCAGAAATCCCCTGGCCTTCTGACAAGTCTGCTAGGCCTTCCCCGAAGAGACAGAACATCTCCCGGGAGGCCAGGGGGCTCTGGGAGGCCCCGCCGCCTTTGAGAAGGCCTCCGCCTTCTCACTTCTCCTCCTCTCAGGAGGGAAAAAACACACAATCAATCGTCACCTCCCTAGAAAATACAGGAAAATATGGGAAGTGGGGGGGAAGACAAAACCCCAGAAAATATGGGGAAATATGGAGAATCCTGTTATTTGTGTGTATTTATTTGTGTCCCAGGGCCCCTTCATCCTCGCTCGCCGCCGAGGAGAGCGGTACAGTCGAGTTTGATTAGTAGGTCGACCTTGCCAAATGAAGGGTGCCCACGCGTCTTGTATTTCGCAACCAATGCCTCCTGCATTCCTATGGTGACTTGGCCGTCGGAAGGTCTGATGCACTCTCACGTGTGATCTCCAGTCGAAATCGATTGTAAAGCACGGCTCGCCGAAACGGAGCAAAAACGGCCCCAGGATTGTAACCGGAGCTGGGGCTGGAAGAACACACGGCGGCCGCTCCGGAAACCGACGAGGAAGAACGGCGAAACGAAAACGGGGAAACATTGACCTGTCGTTTCCAAGAGCCGCTTAAGGAGTCGGGGGCACTCGTCCCTTTGCCTCAGGCCCTGCACCCCTCCCCCTCTTTTGGCTATCCGGGGTCTTCTGGTCCACCGAGGTTGTCGGCTGGCGACCTCCGCTTCCACGCCGGGGTGACGGTGAAGGCAGACGGCCTCGCAGGCCCCGGGGGGGGGGGCGACATTTATACTTGGCGCTCGCCCCTCGTGAGGACCGCCCCCGTTCTTTTCTTTCCTCCCCCCTCCCCACTCGGAGGCACAACGTTTGCTCTCCGTTTACGCACGTGTGCGCTCAGGCCACTGTGCTGGAGCCTCGCCCGTCTACGGGCCAACCCATGTGGTTTGACCGGGCCTCTGTCTGTCTGTCTGTCTGCTCGCCCCTCGTCCTCGTCCTCCTCTGCGTCCGTCCTCGCCCCCGGTCTCTGGAGGCCCCCGGGGGTCCGAGGTGGCCCAGCAGTGGCCATGGTGAGCAGGAGAACGGGCGGAGCGACGTCAGAGGTTCTGGGTGTTCGAGAACGTTTTTTTGCCCCTTGCGGCCTCTTGGGGTTTTCCTCCTTCTCCTCCTCTTCCTCTTCCTCCTCCTCCCCCTCCACTTCCTCCCCTTCCTCCTCCTCCTCCCCCTCCTCCTCCTCCTCCTCCCCCCTTCCTCCTCTCTCTTCCTCCTTTTTCCTCCATCCACCCCTTTTCTTCTCCCTCCTCCCTCCTCTCTCTCCGTTCCCGAGCCCCAGGACCATCAAAAACGGATCTGGGGTGAAAAGCTGCACCAGATGGACCCTCGGATGCGTCCGGGGACTGATTTTGAGCGGATCTGGCCCCATTCCCCCCTCCTGAACGATTTTCTGGGGTTCCAGCCAGTTCAGACCCCCCAGCGGCCTCCAACCCGTTCTCCTCTGCCTCGTCCTTCTGGCCGTCATCCTCGTCAACCTCCTCTTCGTCCTCCGCCCTTGCCCACTCTCCTTCTCGTCCTCGTCCTCCTGCGCCTCCTCCCTTCTTGTCGGAGCACATCATCGTTAGGACGCCAAGACAGTTATATATATGGAGTGGATGCGCATCAGTGTATCAAATAAGACATGTCTCACACATTTTCCAAGTCCACAAGATGTAAGAGCATCCGAACTGAACCAAACATGTACATTCGGTTCAAACTTTTGCTTCTGATCAACTAGATTGCCGATGACCTTCAATACCAGAAAGCCTGAAGCTTTTACATTTGGTCAGCGATTTATTTCGCCCTGCTGAGTCGGTTATCTGGTCCCGCTGTACCGTTTCTTACTGGCCTACCTCACTGGTGGTGTCTCGCCTCCCCCTCCCCTGCCGCGCTGTG